GCCGCCGACCCGATAGCGAGTCCGGCGTCGAGTGGGCGCTGTTCAGCGCCGTCGGGTTGTTTAGCGAGGCGTCCGCGTCCTCCAGCCATCGCTGTAACAGTGGTTTCAATTTACACATGTTTTTGAAGGAGAGGTTCAACGCCTCGAAACGGCTGATCGTTGTCTGCGAGAAGTCATTGCCGTATAGTTTGCCCATCGCTAGGCCGACGTCGCCCTGAGTGAAACCTACAACATGTCCGGATCGGCACCACAGACAATGGATATGGTATTCATGTTATCAATTGTTTTACATGTTATCATATCTTATATATGAAAATGTTTTGTTAACTTTTATGTTAGTTTAGGTTTTTTGATAGAAAAAAGTTTATATAAAGTTTTTTTGCTTTATATTTATGTATTAAAAATATAATGGTTTGAAATCTAACCTAATTTAATCCGCCTCTGTTTGAAAGTCTTGGCGAACTGTTCCAACTCTTCCAAATCGGTCATCTCATCGGGATTGGGATCCGTGGGACGGGTGGCCACGGCTTTGAGCGGCGGGTGTGTGTTTAGCACCGACGACGTCGTGTTAGTAGTAATACTTGTATTATTATTATTAGCGTTACTATTGTTGCCATTGTTAACACTGTTTGCCGTTAGTTTGCTTGAATGACTGCCGGATGAGTGATTGTTACCGCCGTTTGTATTGCTGTGGCTGTTGTTGTGGTGGCTATTGTTATGATGTGTGTTATGGTTGGCCAGCGAAGAGCCGGTGCCGCCGCCGGCGGCCGCGGCGGCGACCGCTGACAGATGGGCGGCCACTGTCCCGGACTGACCGCCGCCACCGGATTGTTGATGGGGTGACTGGCGTTGGCTCAGGTGTTGGTGTGTCGACGATGAGGTGTTGTTCGCTGAATGGTTAGTGTTGTGGTGATGTTGCTGTTGGTGTTGGTGTTGGTTATGGTGTTGTTGCTGTTGTGCGGACTGATTATTGGTGATGAGCTGCTGCTGATGGGACTGATTGGTCACCGATTGTAGTAATTGTTGCGATTCTTGCAACTGCTGTAACTGTTGGGCGGCAGCCAATTGTGGTA